TTGTAAATGAAACAAGAAAGTTTGGTGTCGTGATACAATTACTTATGTTATAGAGTCATGCTTTATTGAGTCAAAAAATTTCCATAGTTTAAAATACTAGTGGGGGGGCGGGGGGGAGGGGGTTGTGGGGCGGGCGCGGTGGTGGGGTGGGAAACCAATTGCGTGAAACAAGTCTTCTCGAACTATAGGTCCAAAAAACATGATCTTTCAAAAAAATATAGAGTGGGCTATGGTTTTCGATCGAGAAGTAGGCGCTAACTGGAAATTTTTTGCACACTTAATTCAAAGAAAAATTAGACTTCTGACTACAATGCTTCCTCATAACAAGATAAGTTGACATTGATAGTTTAGATTTTTTTTATAAAAACAAATGAAAAGTTGAAGTTTACTGTTAATGTTATTTGTTTAAGACTAGTAGAATGCCCAAGTATTCCTCGGGATAAATACAGTGCTTAATGAATGATTGTCGGGGTTGAAGAAAATTTAATTATAAAACAGTGACTATTATAAAAGTTGATTTTCACAGTGATTGCAGTATTTTAATAACACAAGAAATAATAATAAAAATACATGATTGTTAGTGAAAATTCACATTGATCAATACATGAAAGTACAGGATGGTAAACACAAGATACATATCAAATTTCGTAACACATATTCTGGGAGCAAACTAATCGAATTATAACGTAAAAAGACTAAATTCAAAAATTTGTCTTGTACATTAGGTTAAATGTATATTTTTGCACTTATCATTAGCATTATCTGAAATGGTCATCCACAATTTAGTTTACTTTTCAGAATGATGATGATGATAATAATAATAATAATAATAATAATAATAATAATAATATCCGTTTAAAAAACTACCACTATACAATTACATCTGTTTATTGGGAGTAGTGGTTTCCATCAGGATAGAAACAATAGCTTGAATTGGTGCATAATGATAAAGTTATTTTCTTACAAATTGTGTGGCTACCATTGTTTGAGATTTAGTGTTTCTTAATTTGGATGCTAAGTTATTTGTCTTTTTCAAAATCAACTAGTTTTCATCATAAGATGAAGATTTAATTCACAAGTTTTATTAGGATTTACCCCTTAAACATGTCTTCCATCTTCTTATTTTTCATGTTTTGTATTCTCCGTTTGATTCATCCTTAAATCGAAATATAAGTGTTATAGACTGCTTTGTTGGCTTGCAAATGAAATAAGAAAGTTTGGTGCCGTGATACAATTTCTCATGTTATAGAGTCACGCTTTATTGAATCAAAACATTCCCATCATTTGAAATACAAGTATAGTGGAGGGGGAGGGGGGGGAAGGGGGTGGGGTTGTGGGGTGCGCGTGGTGGTGGCGTAGGAAACCAATTGCTCTAAACAAGTCTTCTCAAACTATAGGTCCAAAAAATGTGATCTTTCAAACAAATATAGAGTGGGCTAAGGTTTTCGATCGAGAAGTAGGCGCAAACTGGAAATTTTATCCACACTTAATTTAAAGAGAAATTAGACTTCTAACTACAATGCTTCCTCATAAAAAGATAAGTTGATAGTGACATTTTAGATTTTTTTAATAAAAACAAAAAAAAAGTTGAATTTACTGTTAATGTTATTTGTTTAAGACTAGTAGACTGCCCAAGTGTTGCTCGGGGTAAATACAGTTCTTAAAGAAAATTATCAAAAATAAATAAATATAATAATTAAAATGAATGATTGTCGGGGTTCAAGAAAATTTAATTATAAAACAGTGACTATTATAAAAGTTGATTTTCACAGTGATTGCAATATTTTAATAAAACAAAATATAATAATAAAAATACATGATTGTTAGTGAAAATTCACATTGATCAATACATGAAGGTATATGATGGTAAACACAAGACACATATCTAATTATGTAACACCTGTTATGGGAGGAAACTAATCGAATTATAAGGAAAAAAACTAAATTCAAAAGTTAGTCCTATACATTAGGTTAAATGTATATCTTGGTCCTTATCATTGACATTATCCGAAATGGTCCTCCACAATTTAGTTTACTTTTCATAATGATAATAATAATAATAATAATAATAATAATAATAATAATAATATCCATTTAAACAACTACCACTATACAATTACATTTGTTTATTGGGGTTAGTGGTTTCCATCGGGATAGAAACAATAGCTTGAATTGGTGCATAATCTTAAAGTTATTTTCTTTCAAATTGTGTGAGTACCGGTATTTGAGATTTAGTGTTTCTTAATTTGGATGCTAACTTATTTGTCTGTTTCAAAATCTACCAGTTTTCATCATAAGAAAAAGATTTAATCCACAAGTTTTATAAGGAATTACCCCTGAAACATGTCTTCCATCTTCTTATTTCCCATGTTTTGTATTCTCTGTTCGATTCATGCTTGAATCGAAATATAAGTGTTATAGACTGCTTTGTTGGCTTGCAAATGAAACAAGAAAGTTTGGTGTCGTGATACAATTTCTCATGTTATAGAGTCATGCTTTATTGAGTCAAAAAATTCCCATCGTTTGAAATACAAGTATAGTGGGGGCGGGAGGGGGGGGAGGAAGGTGGGGTTGTGGGGCGGGCGCGATGGTGGGGTGGGAAATAAGTTGCTTGAAATATGTCTTCTCGAACTATAGGTTCAAAAAACGTGATTTTTAAAACAAATAGAGATTGGGCTAAGGTTTTCGATCGAGTAGTAGTCGCAAACTGAAAATTTTGTCCACAATTAATTTCAAGACAAATTAGACTTCTGACTACAATGCTTCCTCATAACAAGATAAGTTGTTTGTGACAGTTTAGATTTTTTAAAAATAAAAATAGAAAAGTTGAATTTTACTGTTAATATTATCTATTTAAGACTAGTAGAAAGCCCAAGTGTTGCTCTGGGCAAATACAGTTCTTAAAGAAAATTATCCAAAAAAATACATATATTAATAAAAATGAATGATTGTCGGGGTTCAAGAAAATTTAATTATAAAACAATGACAATTCTAAAAGTTGATTTTCACAGTGATTGCAATATTTTAATAAAACTAAAAAAATAATAAAAATACATGATTGTTAGAGAAATTAAATATTCAATACATGAAAGTATAAGATGGTAAACACAAGATATATATCAAATTTCATAACACCTGTTTTGGGAGAAAGCTAATCGAATTATAACGTATAAAGACTAAATTGTAAAATTTGTTCTGCACATTAGGTTAAATGTATATTTTGGTCCTTGTGATTAACATTATCCGAAACGGTCCTCCATAATTTAGTTTTTTTTCAGAATAATAATAATAATAATCATAATCATAATAATAATAATAATAATAATAATAATAATATCCGTTTAAACAACTACCACTATACAATTACATCTTTTTATTGGGGGTAACAGTTTCCATCGGGATAGAAACAACAGCTTGAATTGGTGCATAATCATAAAGTTATTTTCTTACAAATTGTGTGGCTACCATTATTTGAGATTTAGTATTTCTTCATTTGGATGCTAAGTTATTTGTTGGTTTCAAAATCAACCAGCTTTCATCATAAGATGAAGATATAATTCACAAGTTTTATTAGGATTTACCCTAAAACATGTCTTCCATCTTCTTATTTTTCATGTTTTGTATTCTCCGTTCGATTCATACTTGAATCGAAATATAAGTGTTATACATTGCTTTGTTGGCTTGCAAATAAGAGAATAAAGTTTGGTGCCGTGATACAAATTTCTCATGCTATAGAGTCACGCTTTATTGAGTCAAAAAATTCCCATCATTTGAAATACAAATGCAGTAGCTAGGTAAACGTATTTGTAGAGTAATATTTCCTAGGCCTCGGGGGACCCAAATAGCCGCGTTGAGAGTAAAAGGAATTGAATGCCGTCGTTTAAACTGACATTGCACAAAGAAGTACTGCTTAAGTTAGTGGTTGATATGATAAAATTTCCCAAGCTACTATTAGGCTGAGTTTGTTTATGACTTTCGGTCAATCGCCGCATGTCAATGAAATAGTTGCCGGAGATATCAGAATTGCTAAAGTTACCGGCTACGCTAAGTGGATAAATGACCCTAGAACACTTCAGACTGTTGATAAAAAAAATATCTAAAACTCATTTTGGAACATTCTATATAATTTTTTCAATCAAAATTATTCCAAATTATTGTATTAAATTTAGTTTTAAATAAGTAGAATATTTTTCTTCAACGAAAAGACGTATAGCGACATAATAATTTTAGTTAAACTCAATTTTAGAAAGAAATATAAATACCATTGTTTAAATTGATGGTACAACGACTTTGATTTTGTTTTATTTCATAATTATTTGAAAGTATTAAGGTTCGATAACAGTATTTTGTAGGTATTTTACACAATATCGTTATAGGCATAGTACTAACTTTGCACTGACAAATATTATAAAATTGAGGTTGTCTTCTTTGTTTATCCCAACCACTGCAACTTCATTCCACCGCTGCCGAGCGAGAACATTAATGGTTTCGCCACTATTCATGTGAATTGAATTGGCCGACAGAGCCGCGGTGGCTATGAGCACTACTTCTATTAGCCATATTAAGAGCAGAATGAAAGGTTTGAGTTGCTTTTGAGGTTATGAATATATGCAGAGTGTTACTCATCGAACACGTTGTTGCTTTTGTGCCGCCCCGCGGACATATTTGGAGTTTGTTCAATTTAGATTTTTAGGGTGCAATGGGAGGGGAAAGCATCAATATAATTCCTCACTCGCATTAAAGCGAGACGTATGCATGTAAAGAGAATAATAATGCAGAATTAACGTACTCAAAATACACTCATAAACCATTGAGACCATTTTCATCGATAGCATCGATCGTTAATTTATACTATTTCTTCTTGTAAACATGCAAAGCGCACGCAACTTTATTATATATATGTCCCTAACTAATAGTCCAATTTTTAGGACTAAGATAGTCTTATGATATCAGACTATAATCAATGGACGGAAATTATACGCAACACGTGGGTAACAAGATCATCCGACAAGCGAAAAGACACCAGTCACGGCGGAAATAACACCGTTGAGGGCACCAAAGATAATACTTGTAACAGTGACTGGAGCACTGATAATCTGACCGGTTGACGGAATTATACTTCCGACGCCGCGAACTCTGGCGGTGACATTGCAAGGAATGGAGCCGTTTACACCAATGAATAGGGGATCTATAGCGCTCAGGTTAGCGGTTATGATGTTAAAATTCCCGAGCGAGAGGAGACCCGTGGTAGTTTGTCCGATGAGAGAACCATTGCATATCAGACTAACATTTACTCCGATCAACTGCAGCACGGTCGGAATGATACCGCCACCCGGTAAGATGGTCGGCAGTGTCCCCGACACGCTGATAGTAGTAACATTGACAGATACGGTTGCTGAATAGGCCGGAGGAGCCGCCGCGGCCATGAGCACAATAGCCAGGAGAAGGAAACTGTTGTTATTAGCCATTTCTGGTATCAAAGAAGAAAGAAAGGTTTTAGTTGTTTAAAATTTGCTCAGTAAATGTAATAAGCTCTAGTTGAGATTATGAATATTTTCAGAGGTGTTATGCACCTATTTATAGTGAAAAATTAGATGCTTTTGCATTGGCATATTTTGTTCTTAGTAATTATACACTTACAAATAGCTAGAATGCCATGGAAATGAAATAGTGGGGAATTATGTTGACTAAATTAAATATAGCAGTTTTTACTTACACGTCATTCATTGGATTAATTAATCCATTCAACATGTATAGTTTTAGATACAGTCCACATTATTCCTTACAGGTTTTGATTTTAATTAATTAAATATTCATAAAACAATTGATATTTAGTGCTATAAACTTGAGCATAGCCAGGTGATGTGCGTATATGGGCTGTTATGATTTAATATGCATCGACATATATAATTTTCGTAATTATTTGTATCGTATACTTTTAGCTAGTTCATGGTTATTCGTTTGTTTTACTAATGGAAATAGAGCAGACCCCTTTTTTTTCGGTAAGAGGAATAATTTTATTCGCTTTGTTTTGAGTAAAAAGATTTATTTCATTTGCTATTTTTTTTCCCTTCTGGAGAAGGTTATACATCGGACCAATTTGCTACCTAGCTAAGTTAATTACTTCTTCCGGTCCTTATTATGATGCATTTTGATTTCGTCCTAAGTTTCACCATGTCTTTTTAATTAAAATAAAAATCTTAAAAATATTTCATGGTAATCAGGGGAACACAACGAATATGAAATTATATTTTTAAAAACATTTTTACAGTTAAAAAGACATTTTAGATGAAACCTAGGATAACATCAAAATACTTTACTAAGAAACGGAGGCCGTGGTAAACAACGTAGGTTTTTTTTCTTTTTTTCCTCTTTTTGCAAGTTGCAAACAGTTGTAAATTCCGGGTGGCAAATTTAAATATTGCAACTAACAGCTTTAAATTGTAGCTTACTCTAAGTTTAATTTAGAGGGATAACTTGCTCATTTAAGATTTCTTATAGAGGACAACAAAATTCAACGTTGACGAAAATTTATGGACTAATAAAAAAGATAATTTCTTGTGGGACAATTTTTTCCTCTTCATTCTTTCTACAGTTTGTAAAACCTTTCCCCTGCCGTACATTCTTCTCTTTATATTTTTCTTGATTGATTGCAATAATGTTAATTTTATCAAAGTCATCAATTTGCTTAAACTCGTACATTATGTAAGTCTAACAACAGTAATACGCAGGAGAAGGTGGAAGAAAAATATTATGTAAAAAAGATTAGACAATTTCGAAGGAAAGAAAACATTACTACCCAATTGAAGTTCCCTTTCTTCTCGACCGTTGACTACAATAAACAGACTTTCCCATTCAACAATAATAGAGTGGGCTAAGGTTTTTAGAGATATAAGCACAACTTGGAAATCTACTATACTGCTCGCTCTATTCAAGAAATTAGTATACATTTAGTTTTGAGATTTTTATTCAAACTTTAACCTAAATTATTTTTATAGCACAAATCTCAAAATTTAATACGTATTATATTTTTTCTTGAACAGATTTAGTATTAAAAAAAAAGAAAATGTGGATTATGGGGAATAATAATTCAATGATGCAAACATAAATCTATAACTCTTCAAATAAAATATTTTTCTTTCATTTGATTTTTAACACATAAATTAAAATCTTTTTCTAATGTGTATATGATAATATTCTAAAACTAATATGGAAAAATGAATATATTACATAATGAAACAATATAAATATGTTGACTTTGAAAATAAAGGTTCATATTTCCTAATTTCTAGTCGGAAATTTTCTTTTCTGTTTAATTTTAATTTTTATAAGTCAACCATTTTTTCCCTTCACAATAACTGAATTGAAAGTATATAAATTATTTTTCCAAAACCTTGAACTTAAATGAGCCGTACAATCCATATTACAAGAGTTACATTAAATAAATTTATTTTCTATTAATGAAAATTTAAACTTGATAATATCAAAACTTTTGTATATATAAGACTTTTTTTTGTCAATGGCCACTTTTGTATTATTATACTCACGCTATCCTAAAATTATTGTCAAATTTGAGATTTCACTTCTAGTACCATTTGAACCAGAAATGAAAATCCAAAGTGGACAATAATTATTGGACGAAGGGAGTATTAATTAGACTTACTTAAGGAAATAAATGAAACAAACTTCCAAAGTATTTAAATTGATACAAATAGTTTTTTTTCTTAAAAAAAAAACAAAGATTAATTCAAGTTTTTATGGTTGAATAGTTATGCCCCAAATACAAATTATTCGAAAGTACTACATTCTTTATTAATTATTTACCCTCCATTGCTCTTCATCCAAAATTTTCCTTAAAATAATGATAATTTAGTAAAAATTCCATCCTTCGTATTAAACACAAGCTATATTAGGTCGTCACCACGGACTTTTGCAGACATGTTTACTGTCACGTATGGACTTAATCAGAAAAGTACAAAGTATAACCGGCGACGGAATGGTGAGAACGTCGGCTAGAGAGTCAGAGTTCAGAGGGGAAACGGCATCAAGGAGAAGAAAGATGGAGGAAACAATTAGAAGGCTTGAGCGTAATCGAGAAGCTTAGTGAAGAAGAAAACTAGATTATATTGCCCAATCATTTTTGTTAATGGTTACAGCATTTATAATGTCTCAAACCAAATTAGTAAAGAATGAATTACCCTAACAATTATTACATTTAATCTTCTGTAAAATCTAACTGAAAATCTAAAGTGCTTCAAAAGGAGACATTCTAATAGCTGAATTAAAAGAACTGTTATACCACCATTCTGCTAGAGAAATCCATTTGCTCCAAGAAATAGGTTTATCACGACAAAACCACCTGAGGTAGTTTTCCAGGCATTGGTTTACTCTCTCAGTCTGTCCATTCATCTGTGGATGATAGGTTGTATTGAGCTTAATATGTACTCCCAACATATTGAATGACGCTTGCCAGAAATGGCTAGTAAAAATTTTGTCTCTATCTATGATAATTTCAGCTGGCAACCCATGCAGCTTGAAGATTTCCTTCATAAATACTTCTGCCACCTTTAAAGCTGTAATAGGAGATTCCAGAGGAATGAAATGCCCGTATTTGGTAAGCCTGTTGACCACTGCTAATATAGTATCAAACTTCTCAGAGGGTGGTAGCTTCACTGTAAAGTCCATAGAAATGCTTCTCCAAGACTATTGAGGGATAGGATTGGGGTGAAGCAAACTAGGATAATTCACATGCTCAGCCTTTTTTCTTTGACAGGCCACATATTGAGTACTAAAATTTTCCAAATCAACTTTCATTCCTGGCCAAAAGAAGATTGACCTCAATCTTTGAAGAGTGACAGTCTGTTCAGAATGTCCACCAAGTGGAGAAGACTGTAAAGCTGTCAGAATAGAGAGTTTGATAGTTGCCTGATTACCAATATATATCTTCCCATGCCTCTCAAAATACCATTAATGTACTAGTATTCAGATTGTTGGTTGGCATTCACAGTGAAACTAGCAATAATATCAAGTACCACTGAGTCATTCTCATAATTGGAGATCACATCCTGAATCCACTGGGGTTGAACTGTTGTGATGGCCAAACAACCTCCTTCTATATAATCATCCTTCTGCTCTATTCTGAAAAGAGCACCTGCTGCTTTATTATCTCTACCCTTCTTATAATGGATCATATAATCATACCCCAAAAGTTTAGTCAACCACTTATGTTGATTAGAATGGATCACTTTCTATTCCAATAAGTATTTCAAAGACTGATGATCAGTCCTGATTATGAATTTATTTCCCAACAAATAGCATCTCCATTTGCTTACTGCTAGTACTAAGGCCATCAGCTCCTTTCCATAAACAGACAATCCCCTATTCTGTTGATTGAAGGCCTTACTTAACAATGCCAGTGGTTTGTCCCTTCTGCATCAACATAGCACCCATGCCAAGATCACTTGCATAAGTCTCTATCACAACAGGTTGTGAAAAATCAGGCATCCTCGGCACTGGAGCAGTAGTCATTATTTCCTTGAGTTGCTGAAAAGATTGTTAAGCTGCATTGTTCCAAGAAAAAGCATTCTTTTTTAATAGATCAGTGAGAGGTCTGCAAATAACACCATACCATTTGATAAATCTTCTGTAGTAGCCAGTTAAGCCCAAGAATCCCTTTAAAGCTTTCACAGATGAAGGGACAGGCCAAATGGTAAGACTCATTATGCTAACTCCTTGAGAAGAGATAATGTGGCCTAAGTACTCAACTGAACTCTGAGCAAACATATACTTAATCCTTTTGGCATACAACTTGTGTTGTTTCAGAATGGTCAAAACCTCCTCCAAATGAGTTAAATGTGTCTCCAAATCAGGACTGTTCACTAATATATCATCAAAGAACACCAATACAGTTTTTCTTAGTTGCTCTTGAAAGATTTGGTTCATCAAAGACTGAAAAGTTGCAGGGGCATTGGTTAATTCAAACAGCATTACTAGAAACTCATAGTGGCCATGATGAGTTTGAAATGTTGTTTTTTGAATGTCAGCATCATTAACCAAAATCTGATTGTATCCAGCTCTTAAATCTAGTTGGAAAAGACTGAAGCTCCTCTAAGTTCATCAAGCAGTTCCTCAATAATAGGAATTGGAAACTTATCCTTTATTGTCATTTCATTTAGCTTTCTGCAATCCACACATATATGCCAGCTGACATCTTTCTTCTTTACCAGAATTATAGGTGAAGCATAGGGGCTTCTACTTGGCTGAGCAATGACTTGTTCGAGTAATTCAGCAACTTGTTTTTAATTTCCTCCTTGTAAGCATGAGGACATCTATAAGGTAGCATCTTGAAAGGTTGTGATATAGCCTTCAAAACAATTTGATGATCCACTGCTCTACTAGGTGGTAATGAATTTGGAGTGCCAAAAACTTCACAATACCTGTCCAACAATCTTCTCATAGATTTAAGAAATAGATATTCAACCACTAAAAGTTCCTCACTGCTCAAAGCTTGAAGTTGCTCGGCCATCAACATTCCTCTCCTTTCCATTGTAAGAATCTAACAATCATTATCCTTAACCTACTGCATAATGTCTACACTGCTTTTCCGTTGCAATATATAGTGTCTGCCATACTTACTGAGTTTGATATGCATTTCATCAAAAATCAAAGGTTATGGGGCTGAAATGTCTCATCCAATCAACTCCCAAGATCAAGTCATAAACTCCTAATCGCATGATCTTCATATCATAACTAAATTTGTAATCCTTAATCTTCTAATGAAAATTTGGACAGATGAGATTTCCATATTGTTTTCCACCATTTCCAACAGTAATTGGAAACATGTTAGACTCCACATAGGGCAATTTGAGATCTCTGACCAACAACAAGTCTACAAAACTATCTCTGCTACCCGTATCAATCAAAATCTTGATGATCCTCCCTTCAATTATTCCTAACAATAAGATGGTCTACTTGACACTATCTACTGATAATACATGCATAGACCCCTCCTCAATTGTCAGATCATTATCAATTCCCTCATCCAATGGCAATTCAGGCGCATCAATATCACATTTTTCTGGTTCCTCATCTTCTTCATTAACAATCATGATATTAAACTGGTGGTATTTACACACATGTCCCGGCCCAAATTTCTCTTCACATTTAAAATAGAGATGATTGTTTGCCCTATACTGATACTCTTCATTAGTCAATCTTTTCACAAAATCAGGATTTATGGCTTTTCCATTTCTATTAGCAGTATGGCTATTTTCAACAGTTCTATTAGAAGCGGAAGAAAATGTTCTGTTCACTTCAATTTTTCTATTATTAGAAGAAGATGGAAAAGGTCTGTTCACATGGGACTGTTCTCTGCTTCCTGAATGTCACCACCAATTGCTTTTCTTGCAAGCTTTCAATCTTGAAAGCAACATTCAAAGACAAAGGTTCATGCATCCTCACCCCAGCCTGCAGTTCTTTCTTCAAACCACTGAGAAAGCTATGGACAAAAAATTCTTCTGACAACCGTGGATCTTGGATCAACATCCTTTCTCTTAATGCCTCAAATTTCACTTGATATTCTCGAACATTCCCTTTCTGAGTAAGTTTGTTGAATTCCTCCACCGGGTTGACTTCTCCAACTTCCACGAAACGCTTCAGCAATTCTCTAAAGAATTCCCTCCAAGAAATGTCAAGTTTGATCATCCGAATCGCCTGGCACCAGGTGTCAGCTTCCTCATTGAGATAGAGTTCAACAGCATCAACCCTTTGCTCCTCAAAAATCTGCTGAATCAAGAAGAATTTTTCACATTTCCTTATCCATTCTCATGGTTTTTGCCCGGTAATCACTTGGAATTCAACCTGTGGTAAGGTATAATGAGGAATCTTGCTAACAACCATCTTGTCTTTTCCCCAATTGGACGTTGCCAGAGCTGGATCTACCACAATTACCTCAGGTCTTGATTCTTGACATTTTTTCCCTCCCGAATTAACATCTTCATTAGGTTTTGGCCCCAATACACTGCCACTAGGGTTTGCGGCCACCACAGGTTCTGGTTGCTGAGTGTTCTTGGAATTCAGAGATTCCAATTTTCCCATCAAAGTTGCTGTTAACGCCTCAAATTGATTACTCATCTGAGTACCGAAATCAGAGAACTTGAGTTGCATTTCTTTGACCTGAGTCTGAAGTTCTTCATTCTATAATCGGAGCTCGTTAATCTCTCGCTGGGTTTTTGTTTGCATCATTGTCACGTCGTTACACAACCGAGGAATTTCCGCGGCTCTGATACCAACTTGTCACGTATGGACTGAATCAGAAAAGTACAAAGTATTGTCGGCGACGGAATGGTGAGAACCTCGGCCGGAGAGCTTGAGTTCAGAGGGGAAATGGCAGCAAGGAGAAGAAAGAAGGAGGAAACAATCAGAAAGTTTGAGAATAATCGAGAAGTTTAGTGAAGAAGAAAACTGGATTATTATTGCCTAATCATTTTTTTTAATGATTACAGCATTTATAATGTCTCAAAACAAATCAGTAAAGAATGAATTACCCTAACATTTATTACATTTAATCTGCGGTAAAATCTAACTGAAAATCTACGTCTTTGCACTGTCTTCACTTTGTCCCTTTAACATTCGTAAATTCTAGATCAACCCCTGATGCGTCACATTTACCTCACTATGTGATTTGGGCCTATAAGGTTTTATCCATCTTTGATGGTTTTCAGTGTTACGGAGAAAAGAATAAAAATTCCTTGGAATGATCGTGAAGGCAATTTTGCCATTTTTGTTTATCCATTAATATTAACTGGGTTAAATTAAAAGCAGTTATCAGCGTGGGAACTAAATAGAAAGATTTTGAATGGTTTTCACTTTTCAGAAGTAGCAATACAAAACTTGCATTACAGATTGCGACTGACATTTTAAATTATTTTGGACTTTCTCTTGTTATTTAAAAATAATAATAATTCTTGGACAAAGACTTCCTCTTGCTTATTATTATTGGAAAGTGGAAATCACGAAAAAGAAATTGTTAAATTGAGAAATCGGAACTGAAATTCATATTCCACAACTCAAACAAAAATAATTGCCCATTCTGAATTTTTAATATTTAGTACAAATAGTCTAATCATTTTGACACAAGAGTTTTTTTTGTATATTTTTTGAAATGGCAAAGTTTTCTATATCCAAGTGAAACCATATAAAAACATGCTACAAAATTAATTGTTCATCCAGATAAAACAGTTTAACTCTAGGTTGATTTTTCTCTTTTTTTTTCTTTCCATTTGCAGTTGTCAAAGATCATGAACTTTTTGAGTTACTTACGTTGTATTAACATATCATGATAAAAGGTCACATGTAGCAATAAAGAAGAAAAAAAAAAAAGTCCCCTGAAATGACATAGAAAACAATTTCATTCTTTGTTTAATAACACAAGCCAATTGGCAACAAAGAGTGGATAAAGAGGAGGATTCAATGTTTGTGATATACTTTCGGTAGCCCTCCGAGACTGTTAGCGAACTGTAAATTTTTCTCCTTACCTTACCATTCATTTCTTTATACAGAAAATTTATGAGTCTCGTTCTTGTTCTTAACAAAACCGTTCCATTAAAAATAATGGTGCAACATGTAAGGATGAGGCGAGAAACGTTGTAACAAAACTTTTTCAATCTTTATATATTTCTAAAAAAAATCAATCTTTGTCAAAAAAAATTACCAAACAAAAACTAAATTACCAAACAGAAACTAAATTACCGTTTACAATAAGATAAATTATCAAGAACTTCACTAAATTTTTATTTCTCACCGGAAAAAAAAAAAAGAAAGGAGAAGAAGAAGTTATCGCTTGAGCATTAGTTCGGTCAACACATTTTCTTTCTCAATCTCCTATATTGATTGGTTTCTAACAAGTCATAAAATTAACCCTAACCCTAATGGGTTTGAGCCAGCTATCTTGGAAGTTAAGTCACCGCCTAAACCTAATACAACTAAGTTTCAGGAACAGGTAACACCACCTCTATATAAAGAGGTGGTGCCTCTCTCATAATTCATATCTTCTACCTATCTTCTACACCTTCTACACACGATACACATCTCTCTCTCTATTATCTCTACTCCTTTATTGACTTAAGCATCGGAGAGTCTACCCTCGGGAGACACCCGAGGCACTGTCTTGCAGGTTTTAGGCCGTTCGCCGCTGCCTAGATCATCATCGCCACCCGTCCTAAGCATCATACAAATCTATACTTCGTCAAGTGGCACGCCCAGTGGGACCAATTTGTTTGGTCTTCACAACCAAATTAATTTCTAGAAGCGAAGTTGGAATTTTTTGGTGCTTTACGCTGCGCAACGTCACCAGCATCATGGCGCAAGAAAAACAACAAACACCTGCTACTGCAGCTGAAAAAGATAAACAGGCGACTCTAACGGGACCATCCCTAGCGGGCCGTCTGGTGGTTTACTGGATCAAAACCTCATGGAGGCTTTTTTCAAATCTCAACCTACCCTGTTCAACAAGTTCCGAGAATTTGTGAAGAGTTTTCATGAACTCGACAATAACCATCGACAACTCGTGCTTGACAATCTGGGTACCTTCTCGAAAGAGGGCGAGCCAAACCCTAGGGGCATCTCTCGAGGACATCACCTTGTAACTCGAGAAGAAATTCGTCCCTCTCGAGTGAACGTACCTCCACCTCGAGTACCTTCAACCATCGAGGAGCAATTACGCAAGGTTCTCGGATCTGAAGGAGATGAGGAGGGAGACGATAGTCCATTCATCCAACGTATCCGAGAAACGCCCATGTACGAGAAGTTCGAACTTCCAGATTTGAAGCCTTATGGGGGAGATACCGACCCCATGGTGTTCTTGCAAGTCTATAAGAGTGTTATGAGGTTGAGGAATGCCTCCAATGATTTCATGTGCAAGGCGTTCCCAACCTATCTCACGGGTCAAGCACAACTCTGGTTCGGAACCTTGTCTCCGGGAAGTATACGGACGTTTCATGAGCTGGGAACTTTGTTTCACACAAGGTTCTTCCAAGGAAAGAAGATTCATAAGACAATTACCGAGCTAATGTCTCTCAAGAAAGATCGAGACGAATCTATTGGGGCTTATTATAGCCGCTTCACCAAAGAGCAACTTCAAGTCGAAGGAATATCTGAAGAGACGATTGTTGCAAACTTCACTAATGGTCTTTATCCATATGGGCAATCTGCTACTTTGCGACAAAAGTTGACAAAAGAGCCGCCACAAACGTTGCAACAACTCTTCTCGGTGGTCGAAACTGAAGTTCGCGCGGAAGAAGATTTACGTCGAGCACGAGAAAGCTTATACCCTTATGAGAAAAGGTCGCTCGAGTACAAAGCTAAAGGCCTAGGGGCAGATCGTGACCAAGAATTAGACCGCAATCGAGATCGAGAACACAATCACGATCGAGAAAGAGGCCATGACTGAGCAAAGCGAAAGGCAGATGCTTATACACCTTTAACTCGTCCTCGAGTTGAAATCCTAGAGGTCCATAAGCATGAGTTCAAAGTACCACGTTCCATGTCAACCGATCCAAGTAAGTGCCCGAAACACTTATGGTGTTCTTTCCATAAAGATTATGGGCACGATACCGAGAATTGCCACGAATTAAATGAGCAAATCAAGGAAGGGCTTGAGATAGGAAAATTCTGAGAATATGTGACTAATCAAGACAACCCCTCGAGGGAAATTCCAGGTGAGCCTCACATTTCACACAAGATACCATAAGGAATCCTCGAGGTTCCATCCAACAAGTATGCCTCTTGCTTTCATATTCTGTTTAATAAATTAGCACATCGATGCTTTGATTTAGAATATTGTTAAGGATCTTTTACTATTAAGCTTTAACTTATCTTCAATAAACATATTATTATATTGCTTCTTTTGAGCGAAATTGTGTATCAACGAAAGACCTGCTAATCGGGCACCGGGTTTAAATAAGACCTGCCAGTCGGGCACGACCCACGAAGACCTGCTAGTCGGGCACCGGGTTTAAATAAGACCTGCTAGTCGGGCACGACCCATAAAGACTTGCTAGTCGGGCAACGGCCAAATAAGACCTGCTAGTCGGGCAAAGCTACAAGACCTACACGACAGGCAACTACAGGCTTCTCACCTTCAAATAAGAGAATCTAGGTGCCATCCTCCTAATTCGGCATACACAGGCTTCCCCCTTCTAATCAGGAACTTACTAACACAAAGACCTCCCTGAGGCATTCTACTCTCTCTATCTTGTATAGGTGACACTCGAGAACGAAAGAGTTCGAGAACTGGGGCAACATTACGAAACTCGAGAAGACATCAACACTCGTAGCAACCCATATCCTTCTCATTAAGTCTCGAGAATATGGCTTGCTAGGGGCACTTGACGAGTCATAAAATTAACCCTAACCCTAATGGGTTTCGGCCAACTATCTTGGAAGTTAAGTCACCGCCTAAACCTAATACAACTAGGTTTCAGGAAACAGGTAACACCACCTCTATATAAAGAGGTGGTGCCTCTCTCATAATTCATATCTTTTACCTATCTTCTACACCTTCTACACACGATACACATCTCTCTCTCTATTATCTCAACTCCTTTATTGACTTAAGCATCAGAGAGTTTACTCTCGGAAGACACCCGAGGCTCTGTCTTGCAGGTTTTAGGCCGTTCGCCGCCGCCTAGGTCATCTCCCTCCCCGCCTCCGGCCTCTCCCACAAAAAAGAATTATGCACTAAACCCACGCCAATCCTTAGAATGTTAACCCGTACCCGCCGAACAGAATTTTTTTTGTTTTTCATGGATTTGAATGGCAAAAGGACAGCATCCGTGGCTGATTTTTTTTTTCTCTCTTTGCTAAACGGCAACTATTTCGATAGGTTGCCAGTAACCCAAAATTATCCAGTGCAATTGGTATAATGTTACTTTTGAAATACCATATTTTAGTCTAACAGTTCTTAAATTTTTTACTCATTCTACGGTCACGACGGAACCGTTTCATAATGAGACTCTGACCGCTCCATATATATATATATATATATATATATACATATATATATATATACTTAATTAATTTGTAATAGGATTAGTTTTATCAAATTTAAAAATTTTCTTAAATTCGTCAAATATGTGTTAAATTTAAATTTGTATTAGTTTAAGAAG